GTGCTGAGTGCACAAAAACAGGACGAACTTTCATCTCAAGGACGAAAATTGCTTGGTTAAGTGAACAACTAAAATCTCCCGGAGCGAATATGNCTCATTAATCACGAAGAAGAAACTTTATCATATTTATAAGTGATAAATAACTAATATACGTTTGAAAAAAACTTACGCAATTTGAATTATTATTAAGCTCAAATGATATTAGTCATCGTGTAAGATAGAGAAGATAACAGCTGCATTATACATATACACATCACCTGATTCTTCTTTTTTTTTCTAATAATTAATCAAATAATATGTTTTGATTCTAACTAATTTAACTTTTTCTCACTTTATTATACTTTTTCTCTTATTTATTTATTCATATCGAATGTAAAATATACAATTTAAATATGGCAGCAGATTATATCTTTAAAAAATATTGCATAAGGGAATATTAACAAAGATGAATAGAGTAAAATATATATATATATCGAATAAACTGTAACTTAAAACATATCAGAAGTGCTTAACATAGACGTGTAATTCAAACCCAATGGCATTGACTTACGAGACAGCTCAGAGTTGAGTGACAGACATTCCACAGTCGTGCAAGATTTATTTAGTGTGCTTGAATAATACAGAAAAAGTAACCGAACGATTGAAACGATCGAGAGATTCCTTTTTAGAATTTGAAGCGAAACGACAATCCAAATTTGGAATTTTGTTTATATAGTTCGATACTTTTATTTCAATCATTTAAACAAGAGATGAATTTCAATCGAGTGTTTGACTGATAGAATATGCATGGTAAGAATCAAAAAAGCGGGACATCAAGATGACTGAAAGATATGTAAGATACAAAAGACTCTTGGCGACAACACGACGCTTTAATGGACATTTATATCAACACAACTATAAATATTAAACTCAATCGATCCTTCTTCTTCTTCTTCTTTCTAAAACTTATATAACTCTTTCTGTTATAAAACCTAATCGCCGTAATTAATATAAAATATCCTATTTCAAGGACGTAGATGTAGATTTTTTCAAGTGTATAATAAATACATTTTTATATAACAGTTATAATTTAATTATAAGATGTATGCTATAAGCTACGTTATAAGCTATGTTATATATCTTTAATTCGTGTTATATATGTACTGTTAAATATTCATGCTACGACAGTTGATTTTTAAGAAGTGTTTACAAATGTCCTTCATACGGTGCTTTGTTATTAATTCTACAGAGATTTTCCTACTTATTTTGTTTATGATAAAATCTAATATTTTAAAATTATAGTTATAAATTAAGTTTTAAAGCAAATACCGTTATATATATATTTGCGAATTACATAAAAACGTAGTACTAGGTGATATATTTAACGACGTTTACTTAGTTGATTACTATATTTCGGTGGATATAAACAAAATCTATTGGAAGGAGGATCTGTAAAAGAAGAAACAATCGAAATCCTACCGCTAGTCCTATTAGCAGCTGGTATTATCTTTATCTCTTATAAAAATTGATCAAGTTAAGCTTCCTAGAAAGCCGATCAAAACAACGAATAATGATAAGAAGGAGTAGCATCATCATCATCATCATCCAGGATACAAATTTTAGGAAAGAAAAGAAAAAAAAAAAAAAGTAACTTTTCCTATTGATTAGATTGTAATAAATTAATAGATTCAAGCTAGAAAGACGAATCGTTTTGGAAAACAATAAAAGAAACGATGCCATTAAAATAAATTGTCTTTAATTCTTTAACGGTAACTTAAAACAATAGATTAAAAAAAAAAAAGTTGGAAGAGGATTTAAATAAAACGTGATGCAACAATTACTTGATAGGCAATGAAATAAAATTTTTCATTCGTGACGTGAGTGATTTGTTTTCTACAACGATTAAACAAGCATCGATCACGTAATACAAATCTTAAAATTAATTCGATCTTTTAATATATCATTTGTATATATATATATAACGTGCTGCATGATTAAATTCTCTTCGTCAACAAAGGAATTTAAGATTATAATTAAATACGTATGACCGTTGTTTTTTTGATCAGTGAATATTTTAGAACTGTTTTCTTATCGGCACTTAAAAAAAATTCCAAGAATCTCGTTTATCACCATTATATTTAAAATTCTATTAGAGAGAGAGAGGAAAGGGAGGAAAAATAATAAAAAAAAAAAACAGTTAAGACATTCTTCTCTCGTTACACCGACAATTGGACCGTATAAAATATGCACATACATAAATTTAAAACAATTAAAATACATAATTAAATATTATATATTTGAATTATAATTTGATAAAATCAGAGAATAATCGAACTCTATTCGTCCTTGTACTTTGCTCTTTCTAAAGTTAAAGGTAATCTAACACCTGTTTACGAGTTCCAATCACGAAAGGGCAATAAAACATATTCAGAGGTCAAATATCGATATTAAAAATTACAAATGTTTTATTCGTTAAAAAATTGAATTTTAAATATTTTAAAGTCGTATAGAATATATATATATATATATATATAGGTCGAGGTAGTTTAATTCATGAATTAACTACGTGAAAAGATTGAAATAAAAGACATTGTTATAAAGGGGACGTTATTCAATTGTTTTTCCTATTATTACTCGAGTAATAAAAACACCAAAGATTACTGTTGGCTGCTTGATACTTCCATAAACACTTGGCACATTTCCACAAGCATATGGCAACCATGTGGTTAATATATCGAATCAGGTTCCTCCTCAGGACTATCCGATGTCTACCGCAAAGAATGTTTACAAAAAAAAAAAGGAAAAAATACCCCCCTCTCCATTCTTGAAAATCGAGATAGACAAGTTTCAAATTTATACCAAACAATATATCTATTATATATTTATGTTAATAAGCTTTAAATTATATCAAACTACAGTCAATTACATTTTACGAATGGTCAAGAATAATANTGAAGAATTCTTTAAATGTCCTCTGTTCTTTGTGTATTTGGATATGTTTTGAGAAATGATGTTAGAAGTTCGTGAGGTCGGAAAGATATTTTAGAAACTATATCCGTGTCCTGGAATACACAAAATATAAATGCAAATTTAGATATTTCTAAGCATTTTTTGGTATTTTATAAGATATTATAGTCAAATTTTGCTTGATAATTCTTGAGAAGTTGAAGTGACATTTTCAGATTAAAGTGAATACACGTCAGATAGATAACATTTATTATAGGAGGAAGAAGAAAAAGAAGAAGAAGAAGAAGAAAAAACATCTTTCTTTGTTGAGAATGCTTTTATATCCATTGTATTCGGGCGAATAATCTTGAGATATATTCACGTAGATTCGCGTAAGGAGAATACTGTTATGGAGTCTATTTTGAATCTAAAGATACAGTACTGTACTGTACATACGTTTTGTTTATACAGAGAATACTTTTACGACAAATTGACATTCATTATTACGCTTTCTCTTAAGAAAACACGTAATAGTAGTGCCAAAACTTTTCAATTGTTGAGTAAGTCTTAGGTAGGTGGGTTATAAAAACAGTATTTTATCTATGGAAGTAGGTCTATTTCTATTATGTTTAAAGGGTGTTCGAGTGGAGGATTTGACTCGGGAGTTTTAGTATTATTTAGACAAAATGTAGAGATATAAATTCCCATTGAAGTTCGCCTGTATGTCTTCCTGTCTTTCTTTCTTTACGTGTTAAATAAATGAAAGTCGAGATCAGATATGATAAGACACTACTAATTTGAGATCGAGAGCATATATTTTAAATTAAATAAATTTTTGCTGGTTAAATATAACTCCGAGCATCATAAAGCATTAATTTAAGGCGTATCATAATTAATCGATATATAAAGTTAATAAGAAACTTAGAAAAAAAAAACCATTTTTAGTTACGTTTAATATGATTCACTGGAGCGAAGAACGTGTCAAAATGATTTTTATTTCTTGCGAAAGTCCAATTATTCAACTAATTAATGATTTTAGTTTATCGTTATTATTATTATTATTTTTTAAAAAAATAATTATATAAGTTACCGAATTTATTATAAATATAATAATAATAATAGACCTATACATTCGATAATACTCGGGAGTATACCTTTATACAGGGCCACAAATATAGATTAATGGTTATGCCAGGATAGTTTAGANCGAAATGTTGATTTTAATAGAGAGAGAGAGAGAGAGAGAGAGAGAGAGAGAGAGAGAGAGGACAGTTTAGAAAAATGTTATGTAAAAAATAATTGGAAATTTAATAGACAATGTAATTCAAAAGTAGATAAAAAGAGTGAAATTAAACGAAGGAATGTTTGTAGAATATCTAAAGAGTAAATGAACAATAACAGTAGATATAGCCCGAAGACACGTGACCCGGGGTCAATGCCACCGGAGAAAAAACCCTCAAATATTTACTATAGAATTTTCTCCCATTTTAGACACCTCTTTTATAGAAATTCATTCGTTTAAAATTTCATTACGGGTTGCGATTTTATTTTTAAAAACCCATATTTATTTATGTATAAGGATCCACGCACGAATCTTATTCCCAAAAAGGAAGAAACGATCGAAAAATTTACAAATGTTTTTATTACTTTCACCAGACAAACGTGTTAGAAAAGACATTAACTGTAATAACGAATCATAAATTTAAAGAAGAGAGTAAATAAAAATGTTCAGTCAAAACGTGTGAAGAGAGAGAGAGAGAGAGAAGAATTTTGGCATCTATCCCGATGACATCATCCGGAGCCGGCTATGACGTCACAGACAACCAGACCACGCCCTCCTGTTTACGTATCGTAAATACCACCTCTACGCATATCCATCTGCTCCGGGCCGGTGTTAAGGGTTATAAAAAAGAAAAATAATAAAAAAAGGACCGATTTGACTGTCCCAAAAAAAGCATTGACTTTAGGGAAGAAGCGGCCATTTTTCTCTACTCGAAAGTCGGAAAATCTCGGCTATCGATAGTCTTTTACTTCATACATTTAAGCCTAATGATAACTTAAGATAGGACACTCACCTCTCTTCTCCAAAGAGTATTGTCTGCCTTTTTTTTAAAAAAAAGTAGTCTTTAATTTTATTTCCGTCCGGCAGATGTCGTTTGCAATGGTGCCCTTAAAAATATCCAAGGGAGAGAGAGAGAGTTATAAGTGATGTCACAATCCTCCACCACGCTACACACACAACTGAGACCGATATGGCGGTGGTTCTCTGTGTATTCTGCTACAGCATCTATCCCTTTCGCCACACTGCCATCTGGTGGAAAGAAACACAAGTATTCTAATCCCATATTTTCTTATTATAATACATAAAATAATTATATAATTCTTTTAAAAATTTATATAAATAAAGAAAATATATATATTTAAAAATTTTTTAAATATTTTGAAGAATTCTTTAAATGTCCTCTGTTCTTTGTGTATTTGGATATGTTTTGAGAAATGATGTTAGAAGTTCGTGAGGTCGGAAAGATATTTTAGAAACTATATCCGTGTCCTGGAATACACAAAATATAAATGCAAATTTAGATATTTCTAAGCATTTTTTGGTATTTTATAAGATATTATAGTCAAATTTTGCTTGATAATTCTTGAGAAGTTGAAGTGACATTTTCAGATTAAAGTGAATACACGTCAGATAGATAACATTTATTATAGGAGGAAGAAGAAAAAGAAGAAGAAGAAGAAGAAAAAACATCTTTCTTTGTTGAGAATGCTTTTATATCCATTGTATTCGGGCGAATAATCTTGAGATATATTCACGTAGATTCGCGTAAGGAGAATACTGTTATGGAGTCTATTTTGAATCTAAAGATACAGTACTGTACTGTACATACGTTTTGTTTATACAGAGAATACTTTTACGACAAATTGACATTCATTATTACGCTTTCTCTTAAGAAAACACGTAATAGTAGTGCCAAAACTTTTCAATTGTTGAGTAAGTCTTAGGTAGGTGGGTTATAAAAACAGTATTTTATCTATGGAAGTAGGTCTATTTCTATTATGTTTAAAGGGTGTTCGAGTGGAGGATTTGACTCGGGAGTTTTAGTATTATTTAGACAAAATGTAGAGATATAAATTCCCATTGAAGTTCGCCTGTATGTCTTCCTGTCTTTCTTTCTTTACGTGTTAAATAAATGAAAGTCGAGATCAGATATGATAAGACACTACTAATTTGAGATCGAGAGCATATATTTTAAATTAAATAAATTTTTGCTGGTTAAATATAACTCCGAGCATCATAAAGCATTAATTTAAGGCGTATCATAATTAATCGATATATAAAGTTAATAAGAAACTTAGAAAAAAAAAACCATTTTTAGTTACGTTTAATATGATTCACTGGAGCGAAGAACGTGTCAAAATGATTTTTATTTCTTGCGAAAGTCCAATTATTCAACTAATTAATGATTTTAGTTTATCGTTATTATTATTATTATTTTTTAAAAAAATAATTATATAAGTTACCGAATTTATTATAAATATAATAATAATAATAGACCTATACATTCGATAATACTCGAGAGTATACCTTTATACAGGGCCACAAATATAGATTAATGGTTATGCCAGGATAGTTTAGAACCTTATTACAAAGCATTTAATATTCTCTCGTTTTATTAATTATAATTATACGCAATAATTTTAAGAGTAACTGTATAAGGATAATTTAGAAGTGGCAATTTTAATTGAATATTAATTAATTACATATTTAAAATTAATGAATTAAATCACCTATTTGTACTTTCTCTCATAATTCAAATGGATTCATGGTAGAATAATTTCGTACTAATTTTTCTTAAGGTGAGTTAGTGTCATCGTATACTTAATTTGATATCGAATGCCTACTTTTTAAAAATATTTTTAGATTTAAATTACAAGTAGAATTCTTGTTCTCGAAAGAATAATTTACTATAAAATTTGTATTCACTTCGTTGTTGGAGAGAGATGAGGAGGAATAAAAGATAATGGAATGTATTAAGTTGTAAACATAGTTACAACACACTAGAACACTATATAAGACTAGTCTAATGTAAAAGATGTAGAGATTAACGTGATGAAGTAACATATCACGTGTTATCTTCAGCACATAGCTAAGTTAAATTCGTTCTTACTTATGTTTTACTGTAAAAATTTTAATGAAAATTTATTAAAATATATATTTTTTCTCATTTAAATTTTTTCGTAACACGCTGTATGTATATTTTTAAATTCATTTCGTCATTTCTCCAAGGTAATTAAAAAAGAAATGAGATTTTTTTTAAAAAAAAAAGTTAATTCTCACATAATAAATACTTTTATTTCTTCATTACTATTAAAGTTTAATTTTTCATTACAAAAATAGAATTTAATTTCGTGAGGTTATTAAATAATAATAATAATAATATAAAATATTTAAATATTGATAAAATTATATAATGTAAAAGTCGTAGTATATACATAATAAAAATTATTAATGATAATATAATTTTTATTCTAGTGATGCGTGATGCACTATATTAATTACAATTAATTATTTAAAATACACTTAACAATACAATTTCCTTAAATTGGTCGTGTTTCATTTTAAAAAATTCATAAGAAAGCTTAGATTAATTTTTGTAAAATTAGATATTTTTCGCTCCTCTTGAACGATATTACTAAAATAAAAGTCAATTAGTCTTTGTTATAGTTGTTAGAATTGGAGTTTCTGTATTTTATTACAGAACAGAGACAAAACGACGAAAGCTCTTAGTCGAGAAGTAAGAAGTTTTCTTTTATTTTTTTATTTTTACTGCCGCAAATTGGAAATTGTTTCATTAACTACGTCTATTGCCAAATTAATGAAGTCTTCCTTCTTCAAATTAAAATTGTTATAGAAAGTATATATTTTTAGAGATTTTTTTAACTGGAAAATGTTATTTTATAGTTTATTATCCATTCATTTTTCATATTGAAACTGTTCGATAGATGAAACAATAAATAATTTTAATATACAGTCGACCTCCCCTATAACACTGTTGATTATTCCGTTTTATATGAATTCCATGTTGTACGAGTCACTTAGATTTTACAAATATGTGAACCGTTCACAGTTCGGCACACGTATTTGTAAAATTTAACTGACTCGTACAACATGGAATTCATATAAAACGGAATAATCAACAGTGTTATAGGGTGGGTCGACTGTATATTCTCCACGAACATGGGCATCTGCAGAAAATTTTTCAGCTTGGAGACGAGTAAATTTTTATTTAACGAGTTTTTGGGGGGGGTTAGATTATTATAATACAGAATTACATCAATACAGAAAGACAGAAAGACACGTAACATGGTCGAGAGTGTAGGGTTACTTATTACAATTACTGTTACGATTTTAATTTGTGGGGGAAATTACTCCGTTTGCTACCCTCTGCGGACGTCCATGTCCACGAATTAATATTATAATAATTATTTTAGTATCGTTAAAGTTTATTTTGAAAGTAACTTCATTTAGAGTGATCGAGTATCATTTTTCTAATATTTATGTGATGCATACTTTCCTCAATTAATGACACGATTTTTAAATATCTTAATTAACTTTCACCAGGGATCATTCTTTACGCTTTTAATTCATTAATCAACGAAAAATTAATAAAAAAAAGGTAAATTATTATACATCAAATTGCTTATAACAACAATTATTATCATTCAAAATTTTAAGAATAAATCAATTTAAAGCTATCAAATTAAGGACATATATCAATTTAACTTATATCCATATATAAATTAAACTGACAGGATTAAAATATACTAAATAACTATAGTTTAGATTAATAATAAGGGGCTCGAATGCGAATTTTCTTAATAAAATATCAAGCTTTAATTTCTTAATTAAATTTTCTTGCCATTTAAAGATTCATTATAAAACCCAATTAAGAATTCCTATTAAATAACTCTATTATTAAGAACAAGAAACTTATTAAATATTCAAATCATTTAATGTATTTAAGGGATGGGCAATTGTTATAAAGAATGCTTTTAACTCTACATAAAATTGGAATCATATATTTTGAAATTTATGTTATAGAATAAAAATTTCTTTTATATTTAATACAGAATTAATATTATTAAAATTGATTTTAATAATAGGCGTAGATTATAAGAAATTTAATACGAAAAATCTCTAATTCTACAGATTATATATGAATGAAACGTTTTATGATTAATTTAACCAAATTATCTATTTAATATTTCATTGAAAATTGAAAGAAAAATATCAATTTTTTTTCCCTCCATTTTAATTTCAAATTGCTTTGAATGAGTCTGTTCATGTTATAATTTAGTAAAGAAACTTTATCTCGTTTTACATAACTCTTTGGTATTCTATCAACTGTAGAAGAATTTACTGGAGTGTATATAATAAACTGTATTTTAATAGGGAATTTCTCTCGAAAAAGATAACAAAGTTGTTATAACAGTGTTAATTAAATTCTTTGTTGTTAAACAACAAATACTAAATCATTTGATATGCGGTCTAAAGAACAAAAGGGTTTAGAAACAATGACTTTGCAAGATAAGAATTTGTGAAAAATCCATTTAAGAAAACAAATTAAATTTTTTTTTCTATACTAAATTTCGTCTCATTGTGTAATAAAATCTTAATAACACTTAAGCTATTTAATAAATTTAATAATAATAATAAAAAACTTTTAGATTGCTTGCCAATTTACTTATTGCATAAGCATCGACGAACTATATATTTTTACTATATTAATATTTACGTGTATATATATATATATATATAGGCTTATAGATTTATAAAAACGAGCAAAAAAATCTTATCTTATTGCTATTTTATGAAAGTTTTAACATGTTTTATATACAAAAAAAGAGAATAAATGAGACTAAAGTGAGCTGAACTCAATAATTAGCCATAAAAAAAAAGGAACTTTTTAGGATTTTGGAGATTAAAATCGCATAACCACGTTAATGATTAGCTTATTTAAAATATTTTTAATGTTATATATACATTATATAACACCTTTTAATATAAGATAAACTGTAAATAACGAATTTAAATATCCTATGAAATATTTATCATATAGAATCTTCTCTCTATTGTAACTATTTAGAAAGGAACAATGAGTTTTTCAGACGAAATTATTTTTGAAAAAAAAAAATGAAGTTTAATTTGCTATTAAGTGTTCAAAACAAGCAAACGTTTGCTGACATTGAAAGGTACACTTTCATTTTAATTCTTTTCTAGCCTTAAGGAAACAAACAGTCCGTAAA